TTGTTAAACCTAACTCTCCATGATTTCGACACTAAAAAAAAGTATACTCAATCTAGACATTTTACTCGATGAATTTGTTTAAGCTGTGGCATAACAACTATAAGCTTTTAAAACTGATAATTTTTTCCGTATTAAACCCTTCACAAAAGAAAGGGTGACACAATAAATTCATAATTGAAAAATACATACAATTTTAACATAACTCTCACGATTTCAATGTACTATATATTTCCAACTGTACTCTCTCTTGACTGACTGTTTGTAAAACAAACAAAAAGTGCCTTGTCCCACGTAGAATAGTGAGAGTGTGTGGGCCAATATATAAGTGTGAAAGTATTCTAACATTATAATTGAAGACAATGCGCTAAGTGGGCTAAAACCTATAATACCCGCTTGCGAGTGCGCGAATAATTAGGAGCACTTAGCACTTTGTACGTTCGTGAATTAGAATTGATACTAATCAATGTTTCTTCTTATTATTTTTAATATAGGCAGTTATTTTTTAGCTAACGGATATTAGGCATCTTACGGTGTTTGAAAGGTTGGGCGGCTTGCAGGTTTATGAAGGGGCTTGATATGAACATGTACGATATTGTGTGCATTTCACCCCGAAATCACATGGTTTTCACTCCCCTTCTTCCGTCGACTTATGTCGGAACGTTGGAGGTCCATTCGGTTGCTGAGCCCGTTATCGGATACAACCTGCTCTTGCGGCAACTCCCAATTCGCACTTCTATTTGGCTTCCTGCACTGGAGTTGACACTGAAAAACATGAAGTAAGTTGAATATCTGGCTATTGTATGTTGATTTCGGTGCTTATATGCTTTTTCCTCCAAGGATGTGGTTAGTTTCATTTCATTTTGCATGTAATGGTTGATTATTCTGGATGTCAAGCCGGCATTTGCCTCCATGCTCTTCAAGTAGCAATGAACAACATGAGAAATTTACGACAACCTGTGTAGCAAACATCAACATGCATTGTCCACTTTTGCATTTGCGTCGAGGTCCCGGCTATCAAAATGCCATGGGCAGTTATCTGGCAGATCAAATATGTCGCGACCCGCCGAATTTTTTCTCGGAAGGGGGAAGATGCAGCGTAGCCTCCGGTTTTCTCAAAGAAAAGGGGGGTCTCGCCTGGTACGCACTAAGTTTAGGTTCAGGACTTAACCAGGGCTCTTCCAGGCCCATAGCATATCACGACTTAGGGTTTAGGCTTTTAACCTGCAATTGATTTTATCTAGAAGTCGCCACTAATCGGTTTGCGATGGGTCGATTAAAAACCCAAGTAAGGTGACGGAAGACTCACCCTACTCCTACGAACTAGAGATTAAATGAGTCCAGGGACTTAGTTGTACTAGTTGGGTGACTAGTGCCCTTTCAGTACCTTTTTACCTTGTTCATTTAAGAAAATATTTTTTGAGGCAGTTTGGATTAATTTTAGGACTTATCTCCTAACATGTGAGGTGATCAAACGAGTGCATAATCATTAACAATTAACAGTCAAGATAAACATGCAGCATAGGATTCTAAACCTAACTAAAGTGACAATATTCAACACATGACAATTTATGCAATTATATACTAATTAGAAACAACATGCATAAAAATAATACAACAGTAATAAAAATAACACGCAAAATATTACTGTATAGCCCTATAGGTTTATCCAATTTAAACATGATTATTAATTGAATAATTCACATATTTTAGAAAAAATTTCAAAAATACTAATTTTTAAAATATGTCCTAATTTTAAAATAAAAGTAAAAAGATTTTTTTTATTTTTTAATTAGATTTTTAAAAAATATTTTTTAATTAAATATATAAATATAATAATAAATTGGGTCGGGTCGGTCAAATCTGACCCGGGTCAATGAATCCGACCTAAAGCGTTGACTCGGGTCGAGTCAGTTCTAGCGTGCAAGAGCATGCGGGGACGCCGGTCGAGCGGGATTTGGCCTCCCGTTGGCCGACCCAGATCGGCTCCGGCCTGAATACCAACTCTAGGGACCACCACCGAGCCTCCCCAACCACCTAGCTCGCCGTCTGACCACCTACTCGCCGGCCGGTGACCGAAAACCAAATCAGCCTCGTTGAGGCGTTTCATCAAACACCTAGCATGCACGGATAAAATGGAGCAACTTTGACCTATTCCGAGACCCCGGCGTCCTCCGACGGCCACGGCTCACCCCTGACGGCGAGTATGGACCAAGAGGAGGATCGGTATGGGTCGGGTTTCGCGTCAAATGGCCAACGCGAGTCCCGGCCACTCAACTCACAAAAACAGGGGAGAAACAGGAAAAAAGGGGGCCGACTGGACTCACCGGTCGACGAGTCGGTTGGGTGAATCGGCGCCGGCTCTGGATCAACGAGGAGGCTCCTGGGGCTTGGTTCTTCAACCTGCGAGCCAAAGATTCAAGTTTTCTCACTCAATCTCTCTCGTTATCTCTCTGTTTTGCTCTGTTTCTGCTCAAAGGGAGCCGACCCATCTCTCTCCTCTCTCTCCGCCTTTTATAGTGGCCGACGGTCACCTGCTCCGTTTCGGAAGTCGTCGCATTTATGACTTTGCACTGGCATAATTGTTCCATGACTTTGGTGGCCGATGGTTGCGCGGTCGAGCGGGTAATTCGTGCTTCTCCAGTGGTGGTCGGCTGCAGGGGAGGGCAGAGGAAGGAGGAGAGAGGGAGAGAGGCCGGGCTGGTCAGGAAGGGGGGAGGGGAACGGGCTGGGCCGACCCGCACTAGAAGGAAGGGGAAGAAGAAAGAAAAGGGCCTGGGCTAGTGGAGGGGGGGGGGGGAAGAAGAGGGTTGGGTCGACCCGGCCCAATCAGAAATTTTTTTAAAATTTTTTAATTTTTTTTTCTATTAATGCAAAATGCACCTAATATCTACATGCCATGCAATTGAAATGTTTTGGTTTTAGGAGTTAAGGACATTAATCCCTAATTTTTTGCATAATTAATTTTGGGCAATTAAAAATAGGTGTCAACAAAATATACTAACAAAAAAACCACATGCATCATTCTCACTGGCATGGCGAAAAGTGTTTTAGGCACATTCTACATAGTAAGATAAGGTATATTTCATTTATTCAGCATGATAGAACCGACGATGCAACGGTAAGAAATGTCAAATAACACTAGGTGTTGCAGGTACGCTATGTTTTTCCTCTCCGATTTTCTCTTTTGCTAAATCTCGTTCCTCATCAACCAAGTGTACCGTGAAACGGTTGACGACGGTGGACTGCCTCAAAAGCCTTACTAGTTTAAAGTCGCCCTTATTAAGGTACTCGTACACACTTACTTAGAGATGCTAGCATCAGTTTGGAAAGATGTAAATAGCATTATTTGACAAGTACACCATTTAATAGGCAAACGAAATCCTGTCGTCGTTTGATGTTGGCTTACGGCAGTATGCGACGAATCATCTAACAAGGGTAAGTTGATTTTCTTTCTCAGGTTTCAGTAATCTTTTCTAACAGTTCATTTCGGTGCTCATTTAATGCTTGCAATGCTAGTTGGGTGTTCGTCTTAAAAGAGAGGCGTGGTGAAAGAGGTGCATGCGAAGAAAATTGCACTGAATGATGATGGTACGGTGTTCCATATGGCCTCCTAGTCTGGTCCGCCGGTGTTGGACCCTCAGAGTTTATCAAGTCACTTAATCTTCCCAAATCCCCTGGTGGAAGGTGAGGAGATAAGATTTCTTCTCTCCTTTGTCATCTAAATCTGCAACAGCAAATTCATGACAAGAACTTTCTGACAATCTCATTTTAGCATTCCACCACCTTCCAATCGAATGATTTGTCCTCTCAACTGTTTCAGGATTGGGGTTGACGAATGGATGAGGGTACCTTCAGTGGAAGATGTGTTTGCACTGGGGGATTGTGCGGGGTTTCTTGAACAGACAGGGAGGCCGGTGCTTCCCGCTTTAGCTCAGGTTCAGTCACCCTGTCTAATTCCTTTGAAGATGCCTCATTGTGACTTTTGGTTTGATCTACAATCTTCAACTTTATTTCCTTACTCTGCTTTGTACAAGATGTGACATTAATCCTTCCATTTGAACTTGGAGGTGGTCATTCACTATAGCTTTCTCATTGCATAAAGCCTCAGTTTTCGTCTTTCCTTGGAAATAATATGAATGCTAATTTCTGGAACAGGTCGCGGAAAGCAAAGGGAAATTCTTGGAGGAGCTGTTTCATAGGATAGGGAAGCGAAATGGAGGGAAAGCTTTTTGCTTGAAAGACATGCCTCTAGGAGGCCGATTCGTGTACAGATATTTGGGAAGCATGGCTTCTATAGGGCGTTACAAGGCGCTTGTTGATTTATGCCAGTCTAAGGTACATAACGTACTACCATGCCACACTTATGGTTTTCTTTCCTAATACCTAGATTTTGATGTGCATGTGCTTTTATAATTCATCGAATCGATAGTCGTCACTTATGCAAACATTCTTTTATGCAAGACTCGAAGGGGATATCGCACGCAGGATTTGTGAGCTGGCTCGTTTGGCATCCAACTTACCTCACAAGGATAGTTAACTGGAGGAACAGGTTCTACGTTGTGATGAATTGGGCGACAACTATGGTATTTGGAAGAGACTAACATGAGAATAGGTTGACAATGATGGAGATGGATACATTAGCTGTTTCACACTAGTCTTGAAAGTTTCTCAATTCTATGATACACTGTGCTCTTTTTGGGTGGAAAGGTTCATTTATTTATCGCACAAGTAATAAGCATGGCGTGTAAAATAACGATGGTTTTGCACCAGTTTTAACCTTTTTTTGTCTTGTAACTTTGGTTTTATTAGTTGTAGAACGCCATTTAACCAGCCGATCTGGTCCTTAGTTCTATGGAACTCGGTAGTGGCTAGGCCTAAGGCGGAGTAAGCTCTGGATTCCAGCCGGAAGGGGTTCACTGATTCGTGCTCTCCCCTAGTGACCATCACTTCATTGATGATAACTGTTCGTCATCTATTCAAGATTGATCACAAGAAAAGCGTCAACAACTCGAAATATTCACTAAAAACAGAGTCAATACATGTTGTGAAATCAATATGGAGATGTAGTTTCTAGATGCTTCCTGCTACTTGGGGTGATAGTACTGCAGTACAGTGTACACTGATTGAATCATGCCTATAAGCGTCACTACAACAGCTAGACCCGAAAGAACTGACCATGGGTTGTCATGAAAAGCATTAAGGAGTTGTGCATAGCAAAGATAAGCCCGTTCATACTTAAGATACTCATTTAAAATTGCAAAGTGTGACCTTAGATAGCTCCCCCTAACGTCGAAATAAACGTCCTTGCAAAGATCACCGAAGAAGCGTGCAACATCCTCGTTGCTCATGCCGTGATTTGAGATGACTTTACGGTCACGCAAAAGTTGTACATCATCGCCCGTGTGAATGAGGCATCCCATGAACATGGCATAGGTGGTTATGTGCCCGTCCACTTGGCCGCGACATTGTTCAAAAGCAACCATATTGGAAAGGATGCAATTGAGATCATGATCTATTTCTATTTTTGGAATTCCAACGGTTCTCCGTTTGCTGTCAAATTTGATCTCTAGGAAGGTGCTGGCTTCACTCCGCTTGAATCCAATTCCCACTCGACGGAACTCGGAAGCAGATCTGATCGTATGATAAGATGAGCTCTCCTCTACTAGATTGTCTTGTTGATCCCTAGGTATTAAGCTCAGACGAAATAAATCGAGTAAATGCACTCCTCTTGGTCTTTCCCCAACAATGGCAGGTCCTTCCAGGAAGCAGCTGAAGAAACGGAAGGCAAGATTATCCAAAGATGAGGTTGTTTTTGGAATGTTCGTCATTTCAAACAAATCCTCAAGAACAAAGTACGGGACCTGGTTCTCAAGTCGTAGAAGGTCACGCCCAAGAGAAAGTAACACGAATGAATTGGAATTGATTAATAGGATTTTGTCGGGCCGTATATATCCGGCAATTTGACGGAGGAACTCAATGATGAAGCATCCGTCGAGAACCATCATTTTCACAAGATCAGGTCCGCTGAAATTGTCGATGCTTTCCGAGTAGCACTGTCGGATCATTTTCTCTTTTGATGCCACTATTTCGATGAGGTTTCCAAGGCAGATACCGTGCGGTTGAGTTCTTTCCAACATAGTGTGGAGGTATCTCCACTTGTGCCCTTGAAACATTTGCAATTGTGATTCTCCATGGTGGTACGGGCCAATAGAGACGATGCGAGGCAAGCATGCCTCGGCAATTCCTCCAGCAAGTGCTTGAGGGACTCTAAAGATGCTACAGCTGCTTTCACCTGTTGATTCATTCAACGATTTCAGTGCTGCCTCAATATCTTCTGACATGGAAGGCAGTAACTGCTGCCTCATTAGCTGGATCTCATGTTGAGTGGTTGCTTGACGACCTTCTTCATTGTTGGCCATGGGCGAGTTAAATTGTAAAATCAACGTGAATCTCTTGCCGAAATTTCAATTGCTAGATAGAGAATCGAGAGGATATCAGAAGTGTAGTGTATCGATGAAAAATGCGAGGGACATGTATAGATTTTAAAAGGTCATGGAACAAGCTAGCGACCTTTCCACAGGGAACCACTCCAGGGAAAACTAATGGATTACTAAGCTCAAAGGCTTAGCACGAACTCTCCCAAGCCCTACCAATCGCAACTTGATACTCAAATTAATCAATTTAAACATGCAATTTCACTCAATTAGGAGTCGCCACTAATTAGTTTTTAGTGGGTTGATTATAAACCCAAGTAAAGTATGAAAGAATACTTTACTTCTACGAACTAAAGATTAAACGAATTCGGGACTTGATCACGCTAAAATAATCTGATGTCCATTCGGTACTTTTTCTCTTTTATTTTCAAAAAATATTTTGCAAGTAACTTGGATCAATTTTAAGACTAGACACTAATATGCAGGGGTGATTATGCAGGTGTGCAACCAATGAAAATAATATTCAATTATCAAAACGGTAAATAAATTGCTAGAATATGAAAAAAATTTACTTACCTCGAAGCAAAACAAACCCCAATCTTATTGTGGTTTATTTTCCCAACAATATGCAAAATATCAACTAAGATTGCATCTCTAACCTAAACATGGTATCTAATTATGCAACCCTAATTGATTATTTTTGGTTTTTTTCTTTTTTAATGATGAAAACTAAGTTTATATGCTATCCTAATCTAAGGTGAACATGCATGATGTACAACTCTAATGACATGTGACATGACCTAATTCTAACATAGCATGCAATCTTAAATTAAACAACCCTAAACATGCACTCCCTAAATGAGACATGATATCGATGACATGGCATAGGCAATGACGTGGCGATGACATGGCATGATGACATAGCATTATATGATGACGTGGCATGGAACATAGCAAAATGACATGGCAGTTATGCATCTAATCCTATATGGCATGCGCATGCTTAATTTTCGTATTTTTTTTTATTAAAAATAAAAATAAATAATTAATAAAATTAAAATTATCGAAAGTGAGATATTATTCATTTTAAACTAGAAAATAGACTAGGCCAAATCCTATTCTAACTTGGAAACCTATCCCAACCCTATCTAACATGCAATTTTACCTAAACATGTCATATTATCTAGAAAATAAATCTATTATATCATGCAACGTTATCTTTTTGTATTTTTCAAACAAAGAAATCAATGAACATGATAAACACCCAATCAAACAAAATAAGCAAAAAATCAAAGTGGATAAGCTCAAGAATAGCAACAAAGTCCATCCAATTCGAATTTGGAAACAGATAAAATTGACGCCCCAATCTATATACCTCAAGATTAAGTTGTCAATTTTCCACGCAATCCATAACCCTATCTCAATGACTAGTTATTTGGAAAATTGTCCAAAAAGTCATAAACATATTGCACTTTTGCCAATTGGGTCCTAAACCTTTCAATTTTGCTAATTGAGTCCATCGGGCTAATTTTGATAAGAAATCGCTAACATGACACCATGTGGCCAGTCCATCCTCGCCGGCTCTAAGCGAGGGCGTGGCACGTGGCCACCAGCCCTATTATATAATAAATCTATTATATCATCCTCACCAGCCCTAACTCCAAACAAAAAAAAATAGAGAAAGCAAAAAAACCATAAAAAAATTTAAAAAATCATTAAAATATTATTGAAAAATGTCCTCGTTAGTGCGCACGTGGCCGGCCGATGTCCACGCTAATGATTTCTAGCTAAAATTGGCCGGATGGACTCAATTGACAAGAAGTGAAAATGTTTAGATCTTAATTGCAAAATTGAAAGGTTGTGAACATGCAATAGATTTAGAATTTTTTGGATAATTTTCCCTAGATCTTAGGGCTATAGCTATTTCAAATTAGGAAATTATTGGGATACGCCCAAAATCTCAAATTGAATTCGGACCGGATAATTACCTTTTCAAAATATTTGTTTACGAATCGGACCGGCGGCAGGTGACTCGCTGCAACCGGCGAAAGAAAGCTCACGAACGGTCTGGCGAGGGCTCCAACGGCAAGAACACGGCAGGGATATTAAGGGCGGTAGAGGATCTCACGGGCACGACATGATGCTGAATTGTCACCGTTGGAGACGTCGGTATGAGCTGGTAACCTCCTGGAGTTCACCGAGAAACCTGCAGAGGATAAACAAATGGATGGGTCTCGCCGGGGGTGCTCGAGGAACTCGCCAGTCACTGCTGTATATTCGGTGACTCTGCAACAAAGTTCTGTGACGGCAATGACTCGATGGTGCACGCTGGAGCGCTTCGGTCCGGCAAAGGTGTAAAGACCGACTTGGAAAGAAATCCGAGATTGCTGGGCGTCCACCAGAGTCGCTGGAAACCGAAGTGGCTGGTGGTATCCTCCGGACCTCCAGCGTGACTGGAGTTGCTGGGCGTCAGTCAAGGAGCTTTGGTTTACCGGATGTTGCTGACGAGGCTGATGCAGGGAAGTTGGAGGAGCAGAGTTGTTGTGGAAAAGCCTGGGTACTCGCTGAAATTAGCCGGAAAACACCACAGGAAACCGTCGGGGCTGAGGTGCACGGGGACCGTCAATGAAGGTGGATCAGCTGGGTCACCGGGAAGCCGAGGTTGTGCTGGTGATTCGCAGGTGATGTCGTCGGGGAGGGAGTTCAACAGCAGCTCCAATCAGAGCACAGGAAGCAAAGGAAGAAGGCCACTCTTTGCTTTTCTTTGGCCTTTACCTCCTGTCCTGTCCCAATTTGCACTCTCGGTTTTTCTCCCTTTTGACCGTGTGTCTCTCTCTTGAATGAATGGCCCTCTTTCCTCTCTTTTTCTTTGTAGCCGCCTATGGGTGTCGTGAATTCTATGAAGCCCCCCCACCTTCTACGAAAGAGAGAAGTGGCCTATAAGGGATTAGGGTTTTTAGAGATATCAATTAGTTACCCCTTTCCTATTTAAAACCAAAAGAAATTTCATCTCTTATCTTAATGCAATTGCAATTTTAAGGATTATATTCTTATTTTCCCATCAAATAATGTAGATTTTCCAAGCTTAGTGCCCCACGTGCATATTAATGTAAAGTTTTGGCAGGCTTAGTCCAATCATTCCAATTAAGCTCAAAACCATCCATTCAAACCCATCCTCCACCAATCCTTTTTTTTGTTTTGGTCAAAGAAATTAACTTTCATTACGAAACATAGAAGAAGCATGAGAAGGTTCAATACCAGAACATAATAGAGGGGGCTTAGACAGCAAATTTACGGGAAGGAGATTCCTCCGGTGGGCTGTAACAATCCAATCCATGGTCTGATTGGCTTCCCTAGGCTCAAAGATGACCGAGACTCCAGTAAGATTGGCAATAAGAAGTTTGCACTCATAAAAAATTGGCTTCACGGTCCATGGACTTTCCGTTCAACCTGATAGGCGCTCTTCAGCTGATAAGCAATCAGTTGCAACAAAGACTCGCAGATCAGTTGAGTTCAGTTCGCACGTCTTCGCCAGCCTCGACAACGCCTCACAAATAGCTAGGGCTTCGACGGCAAGGGCCGAAGTGGTGTGAACCTTCAAGGCAAAGCCGTCGGTAACGATGCCATTGGAGTTCGTGTAGATTCCGACGATTGACTCCTCCAGGGAGTTGCCGGTCCACGATCCGTCAACGTTGAACTTCAAGACATCCTTATCGGGTGGAACCATCATCCAGGTAAATTGGCATTCTTTTTTTATTTGGGTGTTCACAATTGGGTTCCATTTGCTGAATAGTTTGATGTCTACTGTCGCTTCTTCAAGTATTGAGTATGGATGCAGCTGGTCCAATTTAAATGTAACTATATGAGTCTATTACTATTAATGCTCCTAAAATCTATATGTAATTTTAATTAATATTTTATTTTATGGGCCAGAATTTATCCCTAATTTTTTATGCAATAAATAATAAATAGATTGTTAAAATTTAGGTATCAACAATAGTAACAAGTCCTGGGAAAGGTTAGGTGTTACAGGGTCTGAACATCGTTCTGTGTATTTGCCCTAGTCGTTTAAGGAGGTGCCAAAGATACAACACATTTTTCGAGAAATTAAGATCGGATTGAGGACAAGAAGCCACAACAAAAGACAAAAGTATAAGTGGGTGAACTCAAGGATTAGTACACAAAGAAATGAATTTGAGAGGGCAAAGATTCAAAATTTCTTTGCATAGATCTTTGCATTGCCCTAGTAGTTTACGGAGGTGTCAAAGATTCAACATTTCTTCAAGTGTTTATATTTTATATGTACGCATCACACATGCAATAAGCATTTGGAAGCAGGAAATTAGGCTCGAAAATAGGAGGAATCAAGCTATTGGAGCGTGTCTCCTATTATTTGTCACATTGCAATGACTTTGAGAGGGCAAAACTTTCAGAATGCGTATCTCATCTATCTGACAACTTTTTTGGGCGATATTTCTCTTCATTCTGCTTAACTTTGCGAGAGATCTTTATAGAAGATCCGATCAAGCTATTTAGGCTCCGTTCGTTTGGCGGAAAATATTATTCCGGAAAATATTTTCCGGTGTTCGGGGGGCGGAAAACGTTTTCCGTGGGAAAATATTTTCCTTCCCCCCTCACAAAATAGCCTAAGTCTATGGAAAATGACTTCCGCTTCTTCAAAAGCGGAAATCATTTTCCGGAGCTTCTTCTTCTTCTTCTTCTTCGCCGCCGCCGGTCGCCGGTCGCCGCCGCCGCCGCCGGCGAAAAATATTTTCCGAAACTTTTTCATATTGATCACCGAACACCGGAAAATTATGTTCCGGGAAAACATTTTCTAGGAAAATGACTTCCGGGAAAATATTTTCCGAAAGGAGAATATTTTCCGCCAAACGAACGGAGCCTTAATTGATGTTTGCCCCGCTACTAGTACGAATTGGCTCCAAATCAACTTATAAAATTCGGATATGATGAGAATACTCTTCCATATTTAAGGTGATGCAATTTTGAATTTGCACAAATTACTTTCAAGTGAAACTAAATATTAAATTGCACTCACATTTTTAGGAATTAATGAATTTCGAGCAATGTAAGTAAGAATGAAATTATTTTTTGATGTAAACTGAATAGACTTGCCTTTATTTCCTTTCGCTTCTAATTTGTAAAATGTTTGAATTTTCTGACTTGAAGATTCTTTTGGCGGTTGGCAAAGCAACATTTGTTGGAAAGGATTCGGTACGAAGGATATTCATTCACGAGGTACTTTTAAATTTTCTATTCATTTTGCCATTAACTTATATTGCACATGTGACATGATGCAGAACTTTTGTAGGAATATTGCTTATAGGACTGTTATCAAGAGATGTGCGATATTTTTTCAATACCCCCTCTCACTTGCTCTCACTTGCAAGCCGAATTATAAGTGGCACGTGGAATTTGAGTAATGGAGGGTGGACACACATTCGCAAAAAGGATAACACTAACTCTGATATTATGTTAAAAAGTCCAACTTAAAAGCTTAAATTAATAGATATAGGGAAATCATATAAATATAAAGAGCATATAAGAATGCGTTTATTTAGGGAAAAACTCCATGATAAAAGAAAAAACTTTCAGGGAAATCATTTTTCAGGAAAATAATTAATTTTCCTTTATTTGGCGATATGTGATCGAAAAAGTTTTATGGTATTTGGATCTCATTTGAAAAATGATTTCAATCTCGTGAATAAATTGATGAAATTCATGCGAAATCAAACTGGCGGAGAGGCGCGCCGATGACAACATAGCTGATAGTCTGATACAACGAATGCAAAAAGGCAAGTGACATAAGTTGAAAGAACAATTGACAAAATCGAAGTAAAATTAAGGCTTCGATTCATGATCTCCCCCGAGTGCACTCGCCTCAACGGATGCGACCAAGAGCACTCTTCGTCCGTGGACTCTCTCACTCCAGGATTCGAATGATGTTCACAAACAAGAACGCCATAAGGAAACCCGATCGACCAAGCCTAGGAGAGAGAAATTCGAGAGATCGGGACTTCCATTTTTTAGGATAATTTGTAGAGAGAAGGAAAAAGAGAGCGAAAGAAGAAATGAGGGAGATTGAAGCTGAGAAATTGAAAACGCCTGAGCCGAATCAAAGCCAAGAAGAGAGAGAAATCAGCTTTAGGAAGCGGCGAATATCTTGGATTCTCAGCGATTCTTGACGTCAACAGCTTCGGCGAGTTGAGTTCACTTCGACTCCGAGTGAAGCCATGAACTCCGAAGGAACGAGACGACGGCGAGCAAAACAATAATAGATTAGGGGTGAGTATGATTTTAGGGTAGAACTTGGAACTTGAGAATCTGACTGGTGGGAACCGGTAGGTTACAGGTTTCAAGCTATACAGGGTAGGTTCTCGGTTCCAAAAATTGGGGAACCTGTTTTGACGGGTAGATTCCAGATTCTAGGTAGGTGGAGCCTAGAACTTGGAACCTAAATAAGTTTTTTATGTTTTTTTTTTGTTTATGTTTTCGTGTGATCTTGCAGTGTTTCATGGCATTATATGACAAGTGTATAATCTGGAACCACTAATCTGAGCTTTCATTTTATGACTTGTTAATGTTTTATATTCTTCGTGTATCTAAATATAAGTTATGGTTAATGGATCATAGCAGCAAGCAGTGGTCATTAAAGGTGATGATTCACTGCAATTGTTCAATTAATAATACAGGTGGAACCTAGGCAGACCTTGGAACCTTAGGTTCCACGTTTCAAGGTAGGGTAGATTCCAGGTTCCAAAAAATGAGGAACCTGTTCCCATGAGTAGGTTCCAAGTTCCAGGTGGAGCATATACGGAACCTGGAATCGCTCACCCCTAGTATCGATTCACACAATGACTTCTTATTTTAATTGTATTTATTTGAATCGTAATGTCAGGAAAACTAGTATTTTGTATTCTCTTTGATGAATGACAAGTTTGTTCAGTATTGTTGCGTTCATTTTTGTTTTGTTTAACTAAAAATGAAATATAAAAAAAGAACCTGTTAGACCCTGGAACCGACCCGTAAACTTGTGACAGGGTA